CATAGAAATGGTTCAATCTGAAATTTAGCAACTATGTGCAATTAATGAATTGTAACGAACGGTGGTCAAAATGTTATCTGTCTCTTGCACGGAGCATCCCTAACGATTTCTAGTTACCCACAATGCTTATCTCTACCATTAGTTAATAATTCTTTAAATGATATCCTCCTTACAACATGCCTTTATCTTGACGCAGTAACTCTTGCCTACAATTAATAAGAGCTCATGAAGCCATCCTTTTGAATCATTTCCACCACTTTCTTGGACCTAATTGTCAATGTTACTTTCCCTATTAACTTTTCTCTTCCACATACATCACGTTCAACTGCTTCACAATTGATCCTGTAGATCCGAAACTTTCGTAATTTTCTTTCGATATCAAGTAAGACTACTGCTCTAGAGAATTCTTTATTTCTGTTGAAACCAAATTTTTTCAAGAGTTTTTTGAAATTTAACTTTTTCAAGCTCAATTCAGGTCTGCTTGCCAAAAATTGGTTACGCCTTTCTAGTTCTATGTCGCCTCCATAATTATCTCAATACTCAAGAATCACAATCGTTTTAGCACATTTCCTGAATTGCATCAATCAAAAAAAACTAAAGTAGTAGAATAAGCAGTGAAAGTCAAATGATTATCTCCAAAACTGTGATTTAGCCGCTTCTAGAGAAATGGCTCCCAAACTTCTCTTCAATAAAACGAGCAGTTTGCGCTCTATCTGTTAGGAACCTTGATTCACTCAATTTTCAAGCTTTTCAGAGGAAAAATCATGTATTTAGAGTTAGAAATTGTAGTTTTGAGCAGTGTTCACCATAATTGTTCTCTTAGGGACAATTCTGAATACAACTTAAGTGCTCATAATACTCTTCTGACGTGGCAAAGCGCAAAGCAGAAGTGTTGAGTCAAGCTCATTTTTTCTGTGAAACCTAACAAAATTCTCGAGAATGTCATTGGCAGATGATGAGCAGGTTGATGATAAGAAGTTAAATCAGTTATGGCTACAGTATTGCGTACAGTTCATATTGGGACAAAATAGCGGACAGTTATCCTCTTAGGGAGCACATCATTGATCGCTTTAATCTCAATTATTTGATAAACTTCATTTTATAGAACATGTACCATTTTATTCTTCGATTTTACGTTTGATCAGAATAGTTTAGAAAAAAATTATGATAAAATGAACATGGGGCTTCTACGATGATGCTGAAAAATAAAGGTGTAGCATAAGAAGCATAGTTGCTTCTCTTTTTGCAAGTGAAAAGTGAGTATATACTCTTAAGAGAGGAAATTCTAAGGGAATTCTTCTACAAATTTTAGGAGGCCTAGGTTGCGTTTAGAAGTAAATTTACCTATTGATCCGATTAATAGAATGTGTCAAAATTCGTCTTTTTTTGTATTCTCGAATAAGGGAAAAGTCCGCAGCAGTGAGACACAGTGCAAAGTGTTCCTAAGTTCCTAGGTTTGCCTTAAAAGACTAGCTGTAGCTGTCGCCATATCCAGTAGCTTCATTTAATGTAAATAATGACTTCGAGCTTTTGGATTACTCTAAAAGTTTCTTTGGACACCTAAACCCCGTACTAAGACCCATGAAATCGTTTTCAAAACACGCCATTTAATTCCATCCTCCTACGCCTCCTACTTCATTCAGGTTAGACATAGACAGAGTGAATTCATCTTCAAGTCATGTCTGAGCAGCAACTTACTGTAAAAAAAAGCTTGTTCTATATCCTATGGGATTGGAATCAAGAAAAGCAGACTGCTCTTGTTGTTTTGAATACGAATGGGTTTTGACATCTCTTT